TGGGTAAGGTGGGAATCATCTTCTTCCCCCTCCAGCTTTGGGTAAATAGTAGGAGAGACTGTGTTCTATAGCCTTGGATGGAAACTCGTCGAGGAGAAGGACAACTCTGAATTCAAAACCCGCGGAGGGTTTTTTGGGGACCTTGTGGCACATAGTGCACCAGGTCTCTGTATTCAGCCCTTCAAAAAGTGTGGATGGTCCTGCACGAAACCTTTACCACTATAATCAAATCTCATGTGCTGTTGTCGGGCTGTCGGTTTCCTAGGAACTGATCTCCTTGACCTTTATATGTGCAATTTGACTGGAGAGATTCGAGTATATATATATATATATATATATATATATATATATATATATATATATATATATATATTCGGCCATTCACAACGAAAGCGAGAGAGAGAGAGAGAGAGAGGGGGAGGGAAAAATGATATATTCAATGATTTATCTTCCGACTTGAAGTTTCCCAGACACCAATCTGCTCGTCAGTGTAAGATAAATCTATTGTATTTATTAACAGAAACCGTATTGGGGGCGTTACATAAAAACGTAAATAACTGATGTCATCTAAATTTTAAATTTGTTCTTACGAAAAGAAAGAATTACCATGGTATCAACTAATCTGGAAATATTAGCTTACGTATTGGACAAACTTGCCGTTATAAAAAAGCATTTCCATAAAAAGCCTAAGTAAATGAAACAAGGGAATGTTTCCCACAGTCAAGAGTTAATCAAATATGAGGCATAAAATTTATAAACTTGTAATATCCCAAATATGGTCACGATTGGCTAGAACGTTCGCATTCTGATCATGAGGCCCGGGTTCGAATCTCACCATAGTCGATTTGTCATTGAAACTTTCAGATTCGGACTGGAGAGGTCGATCCCAGCGTGCAGCACATTTAGAAAGTGCTTGAAAACCATACGACGGCTTGATCCAAGCCTTGTGAGTGAAATTAGGTAGACGGTAGATAGTTGTGTTAGCAGGAAGCCACAAGTCATCGTAGCCGAGAGCTTGAGTGTGCTGGCCTTGTTCTAATTGTTGATCACGCTAGAGAACACGTTCCCAGAAACTTCTGCTCTGCATAGTTGCAGTATAAACCACCGGTGAGCTCTGTGGGTGTTGAATAAACACAAATGTGCGTGAGCGTGCGTCTGCAATAGGGATTGGCTAACCGCCCATATAGACGGGTATCCTCGAATACGAGTGACCAGCTATTATATGTATGTGTATGTAAGTGTGTGTATATATACATATATATATATATATATATATATATATATATATATATATATATATATATATATATATGTATATATATATATATATATATATATATATATATTTAAAAATATGTTTAGTGGTACAAGATTTTATGACTGCCATGAACAGATAAAATTTAGGTTTATTATTACCACTCATAATAATAAAAAAGTTAAAATGGAAAACGGGCTAGCTAACTGGTTTCATACCTCGCTCAACAGAGCTAAATCAAGGTAAATAGAGTAAACCATACATATATATATATATATATATATATATATATATATATATATATATATATATATTGAAGCCATTGAAAAATTTGGAGGTGACAGTCTGTTTCATGCTAGACCTAATCGTCGTCGCCTGACGATTGCGTCTAGCATGAAACAGACTGACTTCAATGTTCACTTTATATCTACACACACTATCCCTATAAATATAGCACAAATTAAGAGTATATTTCTTCATAAATATATATATATATATATATATATATATATATATACATGTACATTATTATAGTTACTTTTTTGTTTTTATTCATTTTTGCACCTTTATTTTTTGTCAGTGTTCATTTCTTATCCAATTGTAATATATAATTTTATTTACTTCCATATTTATCAATTGGTTATTTTAAATATGGCTCAAATTATTTAATAACTGTTACTATTTTTACCTTTAATTAATTGATTATTTTTAATAATAATAATTTTTAATTTAATCTCTGTTTGCGAATTTTTTCAGGAGTAATGATTTTATTATTCATTATTGAGCACTTTTTGATAAAATAAATGCACGGCTTAAAGGTGTATCTCCAATAATTTACTGCTGAAAATGTTTTCTCAGGCGTAGATTGTGTTAGATGTTATATATATGCTAGACTGATAGGGATAATGACAACGAGGATAGTAATCCAGAGAATTCTCAATATAAACTGTATATATATATATATATATATATATATATATATATATGATTAATATATATATAATAAAAAGTTGGTCCCATAGCTGACTGATGTTACCTTCATCCTGACTCCAGAGTTTTGTAGGCGGGCATGTCCGTACACTTTTCAGATGGGTATCAAATACACACACACACACACACACACACATATTTTTTTTCGTGCGCACGCGCGTGTGTGTGTGTGTGTGTGTGTGTGTGAGAGGCGATGTGGAACTACTTTGAAGAAATAAAATTATGAATTAGTAGTTGCCAGTAAAGAAATTTGTCATAGTATACATATATATATATATATATATATATATATATATATATATATATATATATATATATATATAAAGAGTGACACATTGAGAGAAGGAATAGATAGATAGATAGATAGATAGATAGATAGATAGATAGATAGATAGATAGATAGATAGATAGATAGTTTCTTGAAGTGCATATGATATAATTCCTGTGCGTGGATACATTAATATTAAAATAAAATAAAATAAATAAATAAATCCCATTCATTTTGTTTGGCCTCTTTCTGAACAGCCATGACTTCCCGTTCGACAATTTCAAACGTCCATCCGACCAAGAAATTCTAACTACCATTCACACACTTTACTGGTTCTTAATAATGACTGCGAAATTCGAAAGCACTTTAACAAGAATAACAAAATATGAACTTTGGGCAGTTTATACGCAAATTCAACCACACTAGACAACACCTCAACACTGAACGTGCCTGTGTGTGTGCATATGTGTGGATGTGTGTTTGTGTATTTTGTAATTGTGCAAATTTATGTCTACTGGCTTCGGCATTCGAGAACCTTAATAAGAATAATGTGGCGAAAAATGCATTTATATATATATATATATATATATATATATATATATATATATATATATATATATATATATATATATATATATATATATTCAAGAATCTCATCTTTTTCAAGTCTCTCATCTTTTCCTCTATAGTTTTCTATTTCTCATTCTCCCATCCTCTCTCCACGTATCTCACACTCTCTCTTTTATATATATATATATATATATATATATATATATATATATATATATATATATATACGTGTGTGTATATATATATATATATATATATATATATATATATATATATATATATATATATATATATATATATATATACGTGTGCGTGTGATAAAATAGAAAAGACAAATAAAACGTATATCAATCTAACATGTTTCACTTTTATTAAAATTTCGTCAGAGATTGAGAGGACAAAGCTTTAATAAAAGTGAAACATGTTAGGTTGATATACCTTTCATTTTACGGGCACCTCGAGGTGGTGCAATGGTTGCTAGGGCAATTACGACGACTGGGTAGTGAGTTCAATCTTCACCGGGTGCCCCCGACTTTCGGCCTCGAGCCACATCCATGCTACACTTGGAGAATCACTATACCGTTCATTTTGTTTGTTTATTTATCATCTTTTCGGATTCCGTTCCATATTTCATCTTATCTATCTATATATGTATGAGTGTGTGTGTATGTGTGTGTATGTGTGTGTATATATATATATATATATATATATATATATATATATATATATATATATATATATATATATATATATAGAAACCATTACCTTGGTTTCAGAGTTACGGTATTCTCAGACGAGTTTTATCAAATGACCACCTAACGATATTTTATTTTAAAAAAATGACTAATGGACGCTACATTATTGTTTTAAAAAATAATTAAGCAAAAGCTCGACGTTGGAAGAAGAAGAAGAAGAAGAAGAAGAAGAAGAAGAAGAAGAAGAAGAAGAAGAAGAAAGAAGAAGAGTCATAATAATAATAATAATAATAAAAATTTTCTGATATGTAAGCAAGGACTGAAAACTTTCACACGTGTATTGAGCACTTTTTAATACCACCTTTTCCTGGTCTGATTCCCCTCTGACCCTCATATATTAACCTCATATATATATATATATATATATATATATATATATATATATATATATATATATATATATATATATATATATTACACACTCATACATATATACATATATAGATAGATAAGATGAAATTAAGATCAAATATGGAACGGAATCTATATATATATATATGTATGTATGTATATGCTCCTGAAAAATTTATTATCTCTGGGGAGGAAGTGTGGGTTTGTAAACAATGACTATTGAGGTTAATAATGCAAGACGCTTCGGTAAATCGAATCGAGTTCTCTCAATCACTGTGTATTTATCTAAAAATGAATACGCTTAAATTCACCTACATTTCCGCCGTGTGCCAACGGCTTAGTGGTAGAATTCCCGACTGTATTGGCGTCAGTCGAGTTTCGATTCCAGCTAAAAACGACCGGACGTCTGGCCACACTGATAAGCTGCGAAGCAGTCTGTCTGTGGGTGACAATATGTATATCAAGGTGCAAAAATAAATGAGAGAGGAGTATATGATGAACAGTTTTTGTTTCTTCGCCATGAAAAAATTCACCATCTTAATTTTGTCTGTTCCATTATGAAAGTGGGAAAAAATATTGACGAATCTGATTGCGTTTCCTAAATATTAAAAAAAAAAGTCTGAAGTACCTGCCTTTAAAATTAGCATTCAAAATTCAAGATTTTTAACCTGTTCCGATCATGGAACCTTTCGCCAACAGATCTGCTATTTGCTGAGATTTTCATTTCAGACGATTACGGGTAACTACGCAATTGTGTCCTTGTAAAATCATTTATATCCAAGCACACAAAGTACCTCCTTACAGGCTCATCATGCAAGCTTTCATCGCTTCAGTCTCCACCACATCCCCATTGATGCCGCCGCCATATGCCGCGACGGGATACAAAAACCTGTGGGTGTAGCAATAAAGCGGGGATAATTTATGAGAATTTGCAGGAAGAGAAGACAAGAAGCGAGATAAAGATACTGGCTTTTAGCGCCCCACCGTCTCAGGCGGGGGAACCTCCACCGGCATCTCTATAAGAACTAATAGATCTCTTAAACTGGCTATGAGACACTCCCATGTCATTCATCACTTGATTGTAACCATCGATTTTTTAAAAAGATTTTGGTTTGTATTTCCGACGTTAGGGGTCACAGGGGTTAATAATAATCATAGTAATGGTAATATTAGCCGTTTCTTTTTTATAGTAATGTTGGGCCTTCATTGATCAAGCTGATAGTGCTATTCGATTTAAGCTTTTCTTCACTCTGTGGCAGTTATGAGATCAGAGTGTAGTATGTGTCATTCGGGCGGGCTTAATACATTATCATTTTTCAATTTTGTCTTTGTCTTCGGGCAGAGCGCACTTGAAAAAATACTGACAGGTCCTCCGATTCCAAGGAACAGTTATCCACAGAATTACCTACCTACCTTTTTGCACTAAACAGGGCATGGTCGATAGGAATACCTATTCCCTCACAAGCTACGATTTGTGGGGCGGAGCTATTTTGGGACCTGGCCCGATACCACAGATTCGGGCACCCCACATTAAACTGACCTTGTTTTACTTCCTGCTAGCGTTAAATAAATACTAAGTGTAGTATCAGTTCTACTCATTTCTTAAGGTGATTTTCAAAGCGTATCTTAGATGAGACTCAAGGTCGAAAGTATAAGGAAATGATCTAAGCGTTGCTTAGATACGGTACAAAGACGAAAGTATGGGGTACCTAGAGAGGATCGAACTCACTATTCAATAATAATTAATTGGTTTGTTTTGTTTTACGGCATATCAATTTCAATGTCTTATTTAATGCCGACAAGATTTTTATTTACACTATTTACATTATTCGGACTATTGTCCTCATCTTTGTCGCCATATTTATTACAACGTTTCGGTCGTTGTACACACCAGCCTTCTTCAGGTGGTTGGAATATCGAACTGAACCCTTTATTTCGCTCACTGGGGTAGACTGTTCTAGTTCCACGTGCCATGTTTAATGGATGTCAGTTATCAGTTATCTCCCGTTAATTTCTCTCTGAAAGTTATCCACTGCCTTAACCAGGTATTGAAATGACAATAGTTGTAATAAATATGGCGACAAAGATGAGGACAATTTTCCGAATAATGTAAATAGTGTACATAATACCTCATCTTAGAAATATAGACAGATACTGAAGAGCCGAAACGTTGTAATAAATATGTCGACAAAGATGAGGACAATAGTCCGAATAATGTAAAACAAAATCCCTCAGGATCCTACGGTAGAACCACATCTCTGTTGCTCCTTCATATGCGAGCATTCATGGCAACATAAGGGGACTGACATTACGTAACATTTGACCTGACATTTCTTTGTTTCCAACGAAATTTTCTTGTTTCTTGATATTTTACTTAGTTTCTGGGAGGCATATTTCTATTCCAATCCGCCTTAGCATTTCTAGCACATACACCCTTGTGCAAATTAATTGAAAGAAAACGAATAATTCCGTTATTATTTACTTTTTTCGTATTCTTCCAATGAAACATGACCCAGTGCACATATTAGTACTTCGTATGTTTATTCCACAAAGTTGTTCCTTGCAGATTGACCACAGATTCTCGATTGGATTTAAATCAGGAGAGTTTCCAGGCCGGTCTACAATACTTTGATTTGATCACTGGTAAGTCTTGCCAGTGTTTTCGTGCAGCGTTCCTATTTTCATACGCTTCCTTGGTGCAACCTCCATCGCAGACAAAGGCAATAGGACAATTAATCGACAGTCGAGACAAAAGCGTCCGAGCGTGATAAAAATCTGATGCAGTCAATATTTTTCAAGGCCAAACAAATTTCATCATACACCCCGAAAAGAGATTCATACTACTGCACACCACCGCAAATGACCTAATCTGGGGAAAAAATAGAAATCGATTATCCCCTGTCACTCCAGTGGGTCTAAAACTGGCTGTATGGTGAAAGAAAGAAACTAAACCGGTTGTTTAAATTAATTTGCAAAAGGGTGTATAGATGGCCAGCCAAGCTAAACAAACTATAATGTAGCAAATGCTCTCCATGTATTCTTGTTTTCCTGACAATACCAATGTAGTGATGATGAGTGTGGCTCTGCTGAAGGTATTCATATTTGGGATAAGAATGAAGAAAAAATCAACACAAGTTGACAAGTATTTCAAGAAACGGAACTCAGAATAAATATTTCCAAAACAGAAAGTATGATCTGGAATTGGAATGAAAACAGTTTTAGTGTCAATTCTGAATCCATCGTAAAAATTCAGGATGTGTATTTCGTAAATACTAAACACTTCAAATACCTCGGTGTATTGATCAGCCATAACAAATGCTGTATCAGAGATAAAGAAATGGAACCTAGAATAGGCTACGCTAGACGTAGTTTCAGCCAACACCGTACATCGTGACAAAAAGGTTATTAACTTCCATGTTCTTAAACAGCCTATGAGCCTCGTTTTCGCAATAGGCTGCGCGTCAGTCTTTTAAATAGTCTTGTTAGATCGAGACTTTCATATGAATGTCATAAATGGCGCTAAACTTGTTCAGATAAAAACTAAATTGTCAACTGTGTACAACTGCTTCCTCAGATCAATGTTTAAAACTGGCTTCCAGCGAAGGCAGCCTTTAGGTTTTAGCAAGGACCATCTTAATTTGAATCTCGTGGATTGGCGCTACGCATTCATAAACAAAGAGTTGTACCAAAATAAAGAAAAATCATCACTTGAGGGCTTCCGTGAATTTGGCACCACAGAATCACAAACAAAACAATCTTTAACAAATGACGGGAACTGCATATCAGTTGAAGACTTTCAACAGCAGCAACAGCTAAAATGGATAACGCATGTAACAAGAAGGATAATAATAGCATAATCAAGATGATGACATTCGGCACAACACTGAACATAATATTAAGAACGAATCCCCCATTAATAGAGAAATGAGAATGAACTGGAGAAAACTATATTCTTGAAAAATTATTTTAACGGAATTATGCATATTTCTACCGAAAGTAGTACTGGCTACTTGGTCAATGAATGTCAAATGTTTCCATATAAAGAAACGGCTAATGTTACTATTACCATCAGAAATAAAGAGTTCAATTACAACTCGCCCATCCGGCTGGGGGTTCAGAATACGCCGCCTCCACCTCTGCAGAGAGGCAAGCTCCCGACCACAATGAGGCTTCCTGGATAAAATGGTAAACTACATTTGTATACTGGGTAAGACGATAAACTACATCCGGGTCCTGGGTATCATGATAAACTACATCCGCGTCCTGGGTAAGACGATGAACTACATCTGCGTCCTGGGTCAGACGACAAACTACATTTGCGTCCTGGGTATGACGATGAACTACATCCGCGTCCTGGATAAGACGATAAACTACATCCGCGTCCTGGGTAAGACGATAACCTACATCCGCGTCCTGGGTAAGACGATAACCTACATCCGCGTCCTGTGTATGACGATAAAATAAATCCGACACAAAGGCCTTTGATCAGGAGGTTTTGAGAAGCGTGCAACCACCTCTTCATTGCTGGTATTCCCAGGTACCCCCTGACCTGGGGTTATTGCAACTGTTATGGTCCCAGCTATGGGCAAATAGTTAACTCCAAACTGGGGGCGATACACTATGAAAGTGTAAAAATAGTTTTTAATAGCAGCAATACATTTTTGTCAAAATTATTATCAGCCATGAATATTTGAAAGAACAAAATTATTACCATCAATACATTTTTAAAAAAATTATTAGCTGCAATATATTTTGGGAAAAAATAAAATTTTACCAGGAATACATTTTTAGAAAATAAAATATAATCTGTTCTTTTTATAATTTATGTATTGCTGTAATTTTTTTTTTTTTTCAAAAATGTGTTGCTGATAGTAATTTTTTTCCCAAAAATGTATTGCTGGTAATATTTTTTTTCATAAATGTATTGCTGGTAATATTTTTCTAAAAATGAATTGCTGGTAACATTTTTTCAAAAAATGTATTGCTGGTAATAATTTTTTTTCTTCCAAAAAGAATTGCTGGTAATAATTTTTTCCAAAAATGTATTATTGGTATTAAAACCTATTTATACGTTTTCATAGTGTGTTGACCCCAGTTTGGGGATTAACTATTTGCCCATAGCTGCGACCCTAACAGGTGCTACTACTACGCGTCAGGATGGACCTGTTAACACCAGCACGCTCCTCAAAATCTCCTGATCAGAGGCCTTGCAGATGGATGTAGTTTATCGTCTTACCCAGAACGGAGTGCATTTGTAATATATATATATATATATATATATATATATATATATATATATATATATATACGAGGTTAGCATTTGCCATGCTGATGGAACGTAAAATAGTTCTTTATGACGATAGCAATTTCGTTTTGGAGACGTTAACATTTACAAGCTATTTCTTGTCCCTTTGCAAAAAAATGCTATAAAAAAGACCCAGTTTGCTATAGCGATACTCTACAAGGCAATCAAATAAATTGATTTGTGTTATGGGATTATTCCAACTTGTCTGCAAGGATATTTCCCTTAATTCTCAATACGTTGTGTTGTATAAATACATATAAAGAACAAAGCAGCGGGTTTTCTCTCTCTTTCTCTTCACAAGTAAGATTCGGTAGGAACAATGTGTAGAGGGATTATAAGTCCCCAGCAAACCACGTGTCGCATTGTACACTGCGCAGTATAAAATAACCCTAAGCTGATAACACTAAAAAAACGAAACAACAAAAAAATCTACTCAAATGTAAATTTCTCGACATTTTTAGTAGGGTTTCACACGGCATCCACACGAATAAGGGTATTTCAATGTACACACTTCAATTTAACTATTTCATATTCTTTCTGCTAAGTTTTGATTAGGTAATAAAATGTTATAATCTTGCCTGTCATTCCAGTCTCCTGTTCGAGAAAACAATTCATGCAAACCGTAATACTATCACTGCAACATCTCTCTCACATAGGTACGAGGGTTAGTTAAAAAATAAAGCAATTTGTTTCATTATACAGTGAACACAATCCAACATATCGTATATCAAAATATAGCTATTCATCACAGGTCCACATCCCTACTCCTCAGCATTGTCACCACTTCTTTCAATGGCAGTATTCCACATTTGGAATGAGAATATGAGTACCAGTTTCGTAAAACTCAGCTGGCTACTGATGTAGCCTAATATTTACAGTAATTTTTTACTTCTTCATCACCACCTAACATAGTACCCTCAGACTTCCATCTCTTTACTCCAATGAAATAAACTCTGAAGATAAATGCTACGTAAGTGACGAAGAAAAGTAAATAATTACATCATCAGCCAGCTCGTTCGGCCGTGGAGCTCTGCCATTGAAAAGGGGTGAGGGTTATAATAATGAAGAGTGAATCAACATAGAATATGTTCATAAAAAAGTAACACTAATAAAATAGAGTCAAACTAGCATTAATAAAGACGACTTTTTAACCTCAATTGTAATTTTTTAAAAATAAACATAATAAAAGAATGAAAATCCTATCAACTATTCTATCTATTAACACAAATATGAAATAAAACTAGTAAAATACTGAATTCTTTGACGGAAGACAATATGCCGTTTAAAAAAAAAGTAATAAAAAACTACATTAGTATCTGTCTATATTTCTGAGATGAGGTATTATGTACACTATTTACATTATTCGGATTATTGTCCTCATCTTTGTCACCATATTTATTACAACGTTTCAGCCTTTCAGTATCTGTCTATATTTCTGAGATGAGGTATTATGTACACTATTTACATTATTCGGACTATTATCCTCATCTTTGTCTCCATATTTATAACAAGGTTTCGGCTGTTGTACGCTCCGGCCTTCTTCCTCAAGGACACATGTCACAGTGGATAAAGGCGCTGGTTAGATCCAGTGACAGGACCTAAAGAATGTGAGTTCAATACCCAGTTAAGGCAGTGGAGAACTTGGTGAGGGAATTAACAGGAGATAACTGATAACTGACATCCATTAAACATGGCACGTGGAACTAGCACATTCTACACCAGTGTGCAAAATAAAGGGTTCAGTTGAACATTCCAACCACCTGAAGAAGGCCGGCGCGTACAACAGCCGAAACGTTGTAATAAATATGGAGACAAAGATGAGGACAATAGTCCGAATAATGTAAAAAGTAGACTAATTTTAATCCTAACTTGCAATACTGGAGGCCACGATATTACTTCACGTGGTCACTTCTATATATTGCTATACATCACAGATTCACATCCGTACTTCTCAACATAGTCATTACCTCTTTTTAATGGCAGTGTTCCTCCTCTGAATGAGGACAGTGTTCCCAGCTCCTTAAAAACTTAGCTGGCTGATGATGTAACCAATTTATTACAGCAGGTTTCACTTCTTCATCACCATCATAACTTTTGCACCCCTCCCACCTCAATGCTTCTTTCTTTGGACCAACGACATGAAAGTCTTTTCTCAATGTTTAACGGAGTTTCTCCTTCGGCAACAAAGAACTTGATTGCTACACTTTGCTTCTGACGGACCTCCAGCGGGGCAGCCATTTTCATATCAGCTCCTTTACTCATAGATCTGGAAACAAATTAGATAATAAAAGATCAGGGGCCTTTACAACAGTATCAGATTTCGAATAATTTCACTGAGACATGTGCCTCCTATGATAAAAATTGTATATTTTTTTTACTCACCTTCCTATATATCCTTAATTACAATATCACCGCATATATTCCTTCATTAAAGCAGGCTTATGGTCACATCACGTTGAAGCACCCGTTCTCGTACGATCGCCCACGTTAAGCAACATCAAACGTTGTCACATGGGTGACCGCTTTGGAATACTAGATGTTGACAGCTTGGATGTTCGGGTGATATAATGGATAATGGCTCAGAATTTTTAATCAGAGAACCGCGTTCTACTTCTAGTTGGGTCGATTATATTCACTTATGAGCAAACTATATGGAAAATTATGAATCTGCCCCCCAGTTATGGGTTAATTAGTAAGACTTGTATCCCGCAGCCATTATTAGATAAAAACAATCTTACAATCTATTAATCCATTCTGGGTAAGACGATAATCTATATACGGCAGCAAGGCATTTGATCAGAAGGTTTTGAAGATCGTGGAACCACCTCTTAATTGCTGGTGTTCCCAGGTTCACCCTGGCCCGTGGTGGTAGCACTTGTCAGGCTCCCAGTTATGGGAAAATAGTTAACCCTCCAAAAGAGGTCAAAACACTATGAAAGTATAAAAATAGGTTTTAATACCAGCAATACTTTTTTGGAAAAATTATTACCAGCAGTACATTTTTGAAAAAAATATTATCAACAATATATTTTTGGAAAAAATATATTGCCAGTAATACAAATTTTGTTGTCATTAAATTACCCATTGAGGTTGATATACCATAAAACAAACCAAACCAAACCAAATAACCTTTTAATAGTTTCTGGCATTAAATAACCGTCAAATGGTTGATAACACATAAAACATGTAAGAATCAAAACCTTCATCAAAACGAACTGAAACAAACTGACTTTCCCACTATAGTGTAAGTAAATCTTCTTATTTGAGCGTTAAAATATATGATCTTCTTTTATAACTCTGAATTTTAAAATAATTCTTTTATGTCCGAATTTAAGTGCAGGAAAATCATAGGGAACAGGAATCATATTCTTCCGAGTGGAAAAGAATGTTTTATTTAGTCTGTATAATCAAAAAGACGTGGTGTTTTCTTTTAAATTTTTATTCTTTCCATTTTCTTATTTTTTTCCTTTATTTCTTCTTCTTCTTCTTCTTCTTCTTCTTCTTCTTCTTTTCTTTTCTTTTTTATTTTATTTTATTTTACCTTCAGTCTGCTTCTCTCTCTTTGCTCTTCCTTTTTTCTCCCCCTTTATTCCTCTTCTTTTTCTTCTCCCCCTTTATTCCTCTTCTTTTTCTTCTCTCCCTTTTCCCAACTTCTTGTTCTTTCCTTTTCCTCTTCTTCCTTCTCTTCTAACCCTTTTCTCTTCTTTTTCTTCTCTCCCTTTTCTCGTCTTCTTTTTCTTATCTCTCTTTCTTTTTCTTCTTTTTCTTCTCTCTTTTTTCCTGTCTTCGTTTTCTTTTCTCCATTTCCTCTTCTTCGTTATTTTCTAACCCTTTCCTCTTCTTTTTCTTCTCTAGCTTTCCTTTTCTTCTTTTTCTTCTCTCCCTTTCTTTTTCTTTTTTCTTCTCACCCATTATTTTCTTCTTTTTCTTTTCTCTTTTTTCCTTCTCTTCTAACTTTTCCGCTAGTTCTTTTTTTCTCTCCCTTTCTTCTTCTTTTTCTTCTTTCCCTTTCTTCTTCTTCTTTTTCTTCTCTCTTACTTTTCCCTCTCTTTCCTTTCATTCCCTTTTCCATCATTTTTCGTCTATATTTCCTCGTTCTTTTTTTTCTTTTTTTCCACAGTGAATGTTATCATTTAAAGATTTTCTCTGATGCCATAAGATGATGTTTTTCTTCATGCCTATTCGAGTTTCTCTTATTCTGAAGACGGACCATTCCTCTTCCAAGTCTCAAACTTCTACTGTAGATATTGTGTCTTATTCAAAAAGAAAATAAGCATATTTATTTCTGAACTTCCCGCACTTGATCAAAGGTTCAGGCTGGTGATTTTTGTGTAAAGATAACGGGTATATTTTCTTAGGATATATTGGGACCCTTAGTACTCGTAAAAGATCATCTATATGCCGTACCCTACCGAGGTACTGTGGATGACCACGTACCTCAATTTGACTATAGTGCACCTTGCTTCTTGGAGATATTTCCATCAGGGCAACGCCGCATAGTCTCACATAAAATATTGTGGTATATTGGTTTATGGAACACAATAATATTTTTTTTAATTTTTTTTACAACTGAAATTGCTGGAATTTCGGCTTGTCACTTTCCTACCAGCGTTATGTATAATATTTATTTCTATCTTTCAGAATACGTTTTGCATAGAGCGTATGAAATTTCTCTGGAACAAAAATTACTGCATTTTTAAATAAAATAAAATAAAAATATAAATTGATTATAAATTAAATAGTTTATTTCTTCAATGGGAGCAGCTGATAGAAAAGTTGGTTCCGTGTGTCGTGCTAGAGAATTCTTCTCGCTAGAATCTTACATATTTATAAGTCTACCATTCGTCCTTGATTTGAATATTGCTGCCACACCTGGTCTTGTGCTTCTGCTATATATATTTAAAGATTCTTGATAAAATCGAAAGAAGAATCTGAAAATTTATAGGTCCTGACCTGGCATCTCGGCTACAGTCACTTCTCCACCGCTGCAACGTATTTCCCCCCGTGCCTTTTCCATAAATACTTTCATGGTAATTGTTCGGATAAATTTTCCTCTGTGTTATTTTTATCCCCACCCCATAGACAAATTGTACATATTGGAACTAGTTCGGACTACACAGAGATCCTGAGGTATTATGGTGACTGTGGTAACAATAGTAAGTTAGAATGTGTTGCTTTGGTTTAAGGAATACTGTGGTATATTTAGGACAGTAATTGTGACCAGCTAATTGTAATTATACGACAGAAAAAAAAACAGGCCTACCCCCATCCTGCTTTTGGCCTTGTACCACATTTTTGTATTTTACAAAATAAATATCACTTTCTCCCTTGATTACTTAGACATGTACTAGATTGGCGGCTAGGTCTCATTATTTTACAACTGAAATTGCTAGATGTAACCGTAAGTTCTTTGCTAGCAGTTTCTTCTATCGCACTTCTCACTTGAGGAACTCTCTTCCGGCTTCTTGCTTCCAAGTTAATCTTGATCTTCAAACATTTAAATTCAATCATTATCTATTGTCTTCTTAATTCTTGTTCTTTTAATGTTCTCTCTCCTTAATAGTTTTTTTTTCTAATATTCTCTAACACTCAGTAACCCCTTGCGTCTTAGTAGCTTTATTGCCTTGCTTGGGGGAAATGATTAAAAGAGTAGATTTAATGTTATCCTTTTTTATCTCTTGAAGTTAGCTATTCTTTTTTTCGTTTATCTAATTTTATAAGAAAAAAATTCTTTTATTATTGATTATTTCGAATATTGCTTTAAGTGCTGTTAAATGTACACTCTCAATTTATTTTATCTTCTAAAATATTTTGAGACATCAGGTATAGTTTTAAAAATTCGATTGTTACGCCTTTTTTAACATTTCGATTTAAAGCAAACTCTCGTTAAAAAACAGTTACCGGTTTAAACGTATCAACGCGATGTTCTTTCTTGTACATATGACAAAGGAGCGTCGTATGAAAAAATAGAAAATTGTTTTTTTAGGTGCATATTCTTCATTATGTTATATCCAAACATTTTACAAGAACTTAGAGCTAATTACAGAATATTTCCAGCTCAATTTAAGGTTTAGTTCCGTAACCACGCAACGAGATGAGGTTTAAATATCTCGCTAAATTTTCTTATCAATGTCGAATTTTGTACAAAATCTGGGTAAAAGTGGATCAGAAAAGCCTTCTCAGCCCTAGTAAAATATTTTCAGGAAAAATCATCTTCTAATTGGTCAATAAACACACAAGTGGGCGTTGAAATCCACCCATGTACAAATATTTTTTCAGCGCGTGACCAAGTCAAGTTTTCCCGCCATTTCCTGCGAGCCTGTCACATGATTACATTAATTATAAATAGAAGACACAAACTTGCTGCTTTCTCTCTCTCTCTTCTTCTTCTTCTTCTTCTTCTTCTTCTTCTTCTTATCCTGTTTTCTCTAACGTTAAGGTTTGACCTTTAGTATTCTCAGTTCGACCAACAGGGTCAGAACTCTTAAAATCATATCCACGCATGCACCTACATACGAACTTTTCCAGCCTACATTACAAACATACGAAACATTTCCAAACAAGCAACAAGAACTTTTTTCTTTGAGATATTCTTCTAAAGCTACAGTTTATTCAGAATTTCTCAGCTTTATAATTAATTCAAATTTTGTGAGCTAAGATAAAAATATTTCACAATCTAAGGGACATAACACCCACAGATCTTTAACTTCTACGCATGTACATCAATACACAAAATAAATACAAATGTTATTGTTTTAAAACCATTTTGTTCCTTCTTGTATATCATGCTTTGTGGTATTTACGTTAATTATAAATTGTGTGGTAATGTTATTCACGCAGCCATAAACAGACATCTACAATTGGTCCATTCATACTACCATACCACTATATATGGTAACCCCGACGTTTGATATATGGCGAGAAAAACCAATAGTCCACTACAAGGTAACATAAACTGTAAATTTATCTGCGGAATATCATTACATTATTGTTACATAATTAGAGTGAAATCATTAATTTTTTTTTCTGTCAAAAGCATTTTATTTTTGATTGAATAGTAATTTAAAATATTCTTTTATACAGGCTTTATTTTTTAAATGGAATAATATCAGTCTAAATTTCAGAATTTCGCTATTGCTCATCAAAATGAATGGAAGAATGCGATCAAAAAACAACAATGGAGAAGAGAGGTAACAAAGAATAAACGAAATAACTCCAGTTTGTTCAACTTAGGAAAGTTAGCATTGCAGCCAAAGTATTCTAAAATCCTGCTAATAACAAAGGAGAAAATGAAAAATACCAAACAACAAATCGAAAATAGCATCAAAATCAATTAATATTGTTTTTATTTATTTGTTATGTAACTAAATACATACTTGTCAACAATGTTCCGAAAAACTTGATATTTCCTGTAATAAATTCTTAATAAATATTATTATTGTTATTATTTTACTTAAGTCTAAGGTAGTCCTACATTTACAATTCCTTATGGATAATCATGAAAAGAAAAAAACTGCCTAAAACCTTTAAGCGCGTATTGACGAAAAATTATCAAATGTTGAAAACGCTCTCCTTCGCCGGACGCGTCAGATCATATTCTCCCACACTTAACAGTACATTTCCCATCTTAATTCACCAAGGCATAGCATGTAGATGTTAATATCTCCAACCTCCTAAGATCAGAAGCCAAGAGAGCGAAACCTGGTGTAGATTCAGGATTTTTATTATTATTATTCGTGTGCTATGTTTCCTGCTTTGTATTAAAACTGTGTAAAACTCTTAAGCGCGTATTGCCGGAAAATTATCAAATGTTGAATACACTCCTCCTGCGCCGAACGCGTCGTATAATCGCAAACTTTAATAAGTGACGTCAATAACCAAAAAAAAAAAAAAAGAAAAGTAAATGCAATAATAATTATGGGTTGGCAAGTATCAAAATGTAAAATGGACGAACCTAACCTAAGTTCAAGGTGTGCAGTACCAGTTTTACCTAATTTATCTCATATCACCTCTTCTCCTATCACCTCTTAATTTCTGTTGTTCCCAGGGACAATCTGCCCTGAGTTGTTAACACCTATCAGGGCCCCATCTATGGGCAAATATTGAACCCTCAACCAAATGAAAGTATGAAAATACAATTTTAGTGTAAAAATACCAACAATACATTTTTATATATAAAAAAAAGCATTTAGAGTAAAAATAATATTTATTTATATTAAAACAACCAACAATACATTAATCCATATGATATCCTAAATTTCTTAAAGAAATCAACTTACACCCTTGTGCAAATTAATTGAAACAACCGCTTTAGTTTCCTTTCTTTCACATTACGGTCAGTTTTAAACCCACTGATATAACAGGGTGCAATCGATTTCTATTTTTCCCTCAGATTAGGTCATTTGCAATGGTGTGGAGTAACATGAGTCTATTTTCGGGGTGCATGATGGAATTTGTTTGGCCTTGATAAATATTGTTTCAGCCGTCATTGCATCAGATTTTTATCACTGTCAGACATTATTGTCTCTAGTGTCGATTAGTTGTCCTACGGCCATTGCCTGCGATGGACGTTACTCCAAGGAAACGTACGAAAATTGGAACGTTGCACGAAAACACCGGCAAGCCTTACTAGTAAGCAATTCAAAGTCCTATAGATTGGCCCGGAAACTCTCGTGATTGTGGTCAATCTGCAAGGGAAGACTTTGTGGAACGGACATACGAAATAGGCATTGGGTCATGTGTCCTTGGAAAATTACGAAAAAAAAATTAAATAATAAAGGAATTATTCGTTTTGTTTCAATTAATTTGCCCAAGGGTGTAACTTCAACAAAACTACAATATATAACACATATTACCGCCTCTAGTTCACAAAAATATATATATATATATATATATATATATATATATATATATATATATATATATATAGCTGATTATTATCTACCATGTAGTAAATTGTGAAAATAGAATATCACATTTTCTTATTGCAAGCTCCCAAGAAATTTAAATTTCAGCATTAAATGACCCACAAGAACTGATATGCCGTTAAACAAACGAATAAATATTTAGTTTCGTACCGAAGTACTTATCAAGTTCGACGATTCTTAATTTCGCTTATACCTTAGGACCTATCAAGCTCCTATGTATGAAGCATCCAGGAAGATTCCATAAGTGGAAATGTTTTGTTTTCTAAAGTTTGTTGCATGAGCACCATTCTGTGTAGCTGTAGATTTCTACTTGGTAGCACCTCGGACGAACACGGTTATAAGGTTCTGACCTTATTCGGTAACTAATAAAAAAAACTAAAATAACTGCAAAGTCTCACAGGAAGCATTATAGAAAGCAAACTATATCCAGGTTAAGACTGAAAACTACTTCTTTAAAATGGTTATTCAGTTGAGAGCGCTCGTGAGAACGAATGATATTTTTCCATTGATGAAAAAAAAAGAAGCAAACTTGTAAAAACATATACATAATCCGCCATATTTAATGAAACATGTATGAAAGAAGAATTGCTGCCTTGGATATCTATGAAGATAATGAAACAAAATAAAAATCTATTCAGAAAACTCGTTTCGACGATTTATTGTAGTCATCTTCAAATTGGAATGAGAGACAAACACATGCGTAACGAAAGAACGTTGGGATTTGGGAGATGCTACGACCAGAAAGTTTTGTTTCCCTTTATAGCAACTGTTAAATGCTGGATTTGGAATTAGCCCCCTCCCTGTTGATCTATGTTTTTTTTCTATTAGTTTGTATCTTTAATAATGCTTTTGCGATGATATCTATCTATCTATCTATCTCTCTCTCTCTCTATCTATCTATCTATCTATCTATCTATCTATCTATCTATCTCAGTGTTTTCATATCTGATACAATCATTTTGTATCTATCTATCTATCTATCTATCTATCTATCTATCTATCTATCAAGCTCAGTGTTGTTATATCTGTTACAATCATTTCGTATCTATCTATCTATCTATCTATCTATATATATATATATATATATATATATCTTAGTATTTTCATATCTGATACAATCATTTTGTATCTATCTGTATCTATCTATCTATCTATCTATCTATCTATCTATCTATCTATCTGTCTATCAAGCTCTGTGTTGTCATATTTGCTACAATCATTTCGTATCTATCTATCTTAAGTCAGTTCATATCTATCTATCTATCTATCTATCTATCTATCTATCTATCTATCTTAAGTCAGTTCATATCTATCTATCTATTTATCTATCTATCTACATTCAACGACGAAATTATTTGTACACCCATTAATTTTGATTATTTTGATCTATTTCTCAGGGTCTAATGCTCAAATGGTTCCATGTTTTTTATATGTTAATAAGGAAATATAAAACTCAATTTTCAGAACAATAGGGTAAATATAACAAATTTGACAGGCGACTTTTAATATTTTCGCAATATTAATAGTAAGTAGCATGGCGTCTCATCATTAAAATTTGCTGTAATCGTTTTCTGAAGTTTTTGATGAGATTTAGACAAGTACGAATATTTGGGTGTACAAATAATTTCGTCGTTGCCTGTAGGCCGAAACTATGTTCAGATGTATTACGATTAACTACTGATGTGTTTAAAGTTGTTTTACAGTAGATCCCTGCTTGCTTGTATCGTATTTTTTTGAGATTTCTGGATGTTACGCTGATATGTGCAATTAGACATTTTTGCAACTTGTTATGTACATTCCTGCATCTGATTTATTGCTGTTACTCTTCCTTTTGGTATGTGACGATATCTTTTATTTCAGAGGAGGTGTTGATAAGTTTTAGATCAATGTTCAATATGTAATTTTCGATGGAGGATGTTATGAATTTGGTGGATAAAATGATATGACTAATTTTGTTAGTGTTGCTAGGATTATTATCTGTGGATTTTTCTATTTATTTTTTTTTGTGGATTCTTTAAGCTATGCGTTTAGCATTATACAGTAAATAATTCGTGTATTGGAGGAGATTGAAAGTGTTTTCATTATATTTCTCTTTCTAGTGTAGTAATTGAGGTTACAGATTGTAAGAGCTCTAAGAGTCAACATATAATTCTGTGTTCTTGTGTTCGTCTGCGTGCGTGGGTGCGCATGCGCGTAAATATCTACCATATTAATATATATATGTTAAATTGTATTTTATGGCATATTTCAACCTGTGGGGCGCCAGTTATTGTGTGATTGTTGCCAAGCACGTTTATCGGTACAATTTATTCATGTAGAGAAATTACGACACGAGGAATTTCTTGGGGTTTCAGGAAGGAGTCATTTACACGAAAAAGACATTAAAACAATTCGTCAACTTCACTGTGAATAAAAAGTTTGAGTGCTATGTTTAATGACTTCACACTGGATCTGGAATTGGAATCAGAGAAGAAGATGGCAATATTCGCAACCCTTCATAAAAAC